TATTTAAGTACTTATATGTGTAAAGGGAGTGGGTCAAATATTTGATCCCCACCCCATGTCCTAAGGGCTAGAGGAATCCTCAGGTGGCAAATTCTGAAGTCAAGGTAGACCTGAACTGAAAGTGGGGCTCTAAACGCTAGGCATGTATCTGCTCTACATTAAACACTTTCTCTCCAGATATTTATTTGATTTTTCCGTATGCAGCATCTCCAGATGCTGTGTGTGCTTTGAAAGCAGAATCTTGCTTTTGAATTCCATATATGGAGTTAATGTTTATTAAAATATCAAATTGGATAGCATTTTGATTCAAAGGGAAAATAAGGTTTTCAAGGGGCAGTTGTTCAGCACATACTACCTTGGTGCAAGAAACTTCTCTGGTCTCACTTCCCAGCTCAATAGCTGCAGCAAGGAGCAGTACCAGATTCAGTCCTGTCTTTCAGTGTGTCCCACGGTGTTGACATTGGTCTGCGAATGGTATGCTGGATCAACAGCTCCAATGATGCAAGGGCTTTCCCTGGGGATTTGTCCTTTCCCCTTCAGAATTGTTCCCTCGCACCATTCCCATGTCCAGCAGTGGCTCAGGAACCTGGCTGCAGAGCAGATGCCAGAGATCTGCAGCGTCTCTGTGACCATCTGCTTCATGAAGCAAAGGGATCACTGCTTGTACTTTACATCTCATATTTACCTGCCCGTAAAATGCCATGATTGCACTCCTGTGCAGTGCAGACACATTATATGTGTGTGGGAGTGAATCAAAATTTCTTTTCAAGTGTGAGAGCCACATGTTTCATGTTCCCCCCTCCCCCTTTCTCCCCCTAGTTCTGAGCTCCGTAATCCAGCTCCCAGGTTGCACAGATCCTGCTTTGCTCAGAGGGACTCATGGCCAAACTGAAAAGAAATTTATATATATATATATATATATCACACTTCTTAGTAAGTCCTCTTGTCTCTTTCAACTAGCCAACATAAAAACCTTTTCTCCTGGCTTATACAATCTTTTAAAGTACTAACAAGTGTTCTGCGGTTTCTAAGAGATCTTTTTTTTTTTCTTTCATAGCCCCAGGGTTACCACCCTAGTAGGTGTGGAAAATCTTTGTTCACTTCATTATAAGACACTTTTGTATACCATCTAACTGGATTCAGCCAGCAAAGGAGAGCAGATATGTCATATGCCAAACGCTTTCTTCCTTGTCCCTCACATCCTAGGATATTGCACGCTTTCATGTTCTAATGGAGGTTTCTTTTACCAATGACCAACATTTTCCTATACTCTCCAAAGTTCCTACAAGTTTCTGACCTGTTATAATTTCCCTACCTGCAGTGCAGTTTTAGCCAGTGTTCCTGTTGAGTACTGAGGAAATTAATATGCTGCCCAGGAAATCACTTTCAAAGTTTGAAAATCTGTATGCCAGAAGACTCTGTCTTGTGTACTGCAGCAACCCGAGTGCTATCAGCTGTATCTGTGCAAGAACTAAGGTGAACTGGGAAAGAAGGACAAATCAATTTGTGCAATTGTTGCAGTTTCTTGCCAGGCTTTGCCCATTGTCACCAAGCAGCACCTTGGCCCCACGAGTGGCAGATGGAGCCAGGAGTGTTTCAGAGCAGTGAGAACTAATCTGTGCTTTGAGAATGCAGCACATGCTGCTCGTGTGTGAGGATGAAAAAGTGCCCAAGCGCATTTCCAACAGGCATTTACTCAGTAACGTATTCTTGTTACCCAGTTCTGTATCTGGGCTATTTTCAGAAATTGAAAATGCTGCTTCTCTTTTAAAGCTGGCCACTTCCTCTTTGACTATCTTCCCACTCTCAACATAAAACAGGTGCATCAGCAATGTTTGGCATGCTTGTCTCTAATGCTGAACATTTCATGTAGTTTGCCTGACTCAAAGCCGCTGAAAATCACAGTGCTGATCCTAAGGCAAACTGGGCAAGAGCTGGCTGGGGCTATAGTGGTGGGAGACTTGCAGAAAGGGGCAGATCCTGTACCCAGTTGCCAGGGGATGCCAGCTGTACCACATTCTTCATATTCTCTGTCCACTAAAACTCACTTTTCTTTGTTCTTTTGTGGACAGAGACTGGACTGATTAAGATTTCCAGATGCAATCAGGCAACTCATATGACAGCAGTGGCAATAAAAAGAAAATTGAACATACTTTGTACCAAAAAGACTGAAGCAAGCATATTTGGCAGAGTTATAAATAATTGAAAACAAGGTCTGATTTGGCAGTGGCTCGGGGATCCTTTGCTGAGAGCTGCTCAACCTACCTGCAGACACCAAGGCTTCCAACATGGTGACATCAGGTGTCTGCACGTCGTGCCCATGCACTGAGGGAACAAAGGCAAGTATGAAGTGGTATTAAAACATGCAACCTTTTGAATGCTATTCCAAAATAAAACTTGAACTCCTGCCCAATCTCATGTCAGGCAAATTGTGCCTACTTACCTTACCGTATCATACACTGAACTTTCACTGCAGTAATAACTTCTTGATTTTCCTATTTCCTTATGTTGTAGTGCCTTTCCAGTCCCTGTCCACTGCAACAGTAAATCACAAATGGTGTGGCTATATCTTCACTGTCCTATTAACCATTACAAAAATGTTTGGAAGTGAACAAACACCACAATTTCTTTCTTTCTTTTTTTTTTTTTTTTTCTAAAAAAGGTACAATGATTAAAGAGCGCTCTTCTGCACAGAGAAGCTCAAACATATTCTGTGCTCGTACTCCTAAATGACAGACCCTGAATGTAGGGGTGGGAGAATACCTAGGCTGTGGATTGCACAGAATCAGGAGACATGGGATGAAGTGTAAGGGGTATGGTTGCTGAGTGGTGCAAACTGATTGCCATCATATGATGACTGAAGAGATGCAGTGACTGGCATACTGCCCCTCCAGACCACTCACTGATAACTAAGAATCCTTTTTCCCAAGTAAATGAGTAAGAACTATTACTCTTAAGACCATGAATGAGTTCTACCTACTTGCTGATCCAGGCCTTTTTTCTTACCAGCAAATTTGGTTCAGCTGTCTCAACAGCATTTCTTCTACTCTTCTGAAATTAATAAGCAGACTACTTATTTTTCCTCCTTTAAAGAAGGAAGGAATATGACGTACAGAGGGAAGACATAAGCCTAAGACTTACTCAGGGCTAATTTCATCTTCCACATTTAATGATTTTTCCTCTCATTCCTCACTGTAAATTTTATTTATTTATTTAATTAATTAATTTTATTTTCTTTAAACTTAGAAATAGCTCCTGAAAGATTTCTTCTTTGAAAATGAAGACACTGTCTTGATGTTGCCAGCATTATTGGTGGTTTTTTTTTTGGTTTTTTTTTTTCAATGAAAACTTCTACAAAATTTTATTCTTTTATTTAAAAAACTCCAAACTCATAAGACACAGCATAATAGCATGTTTTAAAATTGCAAATCTAATGTAATTTTTTATTGCTTGTAATCTTATTTTCAGGACTAAATGGTTGGAGATAAAGCCCTATAAATGTAAAGCTCAAAAATAAATATGCAACATCAGAAGTTATCAAACACCTGCATGCTTTATGGAAATAGATAGTAGGACATCTACTTATGCTGCAAGGGTGGAGGTGGGGACATCAATACTGTGGGACATCCTACAGACCCCAAAGAACATAGACAGCATTCATCTTTATTTCTCCACCAAGGGAAAATCTTCATGAGGAATTCAAAACTTAGGCATGAAAGCAAGTTTGAAGAGGATAGGCAAATGAGTTAATCTCTTCAGCTCTGGTGCTGACTCAACTGTTTGCTAAAAACACCTAATTGGAGGCACAAACATCTCACAGAAACCTAGCCAATCTCCAGGACAATCATCCTGGGGAGTAAAATGCTAATAACTGGGCCACTCTTCCATGACAATTTTGCTAGCATGTAGTGCAGACCCTCACTTGCATTGCTCAACTGCTTTGTCCAGGAGATGAGCAGCAGATTGAGGCACTGATTTTATTTAAGTCAGTAATTAATTAGGATGGTGCGGGTATTACACATTGATGACCAATAGGCTCTTTCCTTTTTAAATGTTTATGTTTTTTAATATTAACTGTAACATTAATTGAATAAAATTCTACCTACATAACCTTTGGGTTTGTCTCTTACTTATTTTTGTTCATTCCCACCTTCAAAAATGCCCTATGGAAAGGCTAGTGCCCATGTCATGCTTGAAAACAGATTTATTATGAATCTTTCTCCAGTTCAGAGACCTGTTTGTGAGAACATGAGCCCTGAGAGGGAATTCACTTAGCTCTCATCTTGCCTTTTTTAAAGCCTAACTGTTTTAAAATGAAGCTCTATCCTAATGTGGCTGCCTTCTTGGCTGTCTCATCTCTACATGGCTCTTTTTACCCCTAGCTTTGATTTGTACATGTGGCATGTTTTTGATCAGATAACACCCACTGGATATGTTGCTGTCTTTGTTCAGGACATTGGTTTTGTAAGCTGCAAAGCTGATAAACACTTATACGTGCCTTGTTTCCTTTTCTGCATATTCTATTGAGACATCATCACATCTGGGGAAAACATGTTTTTAAATATTATAGTTGTTGTTATTCATTTTAAATTCAGTGCTATCATAGTTGATGTCTGCATCTTTAAAAAATGCAAAATGATGTCTTGGCAGTAATGAATACGAGTCTAGCAGAGAGGAAGAAAGGGAACCTGCCTTAAGGTCCCTTTATTACAAAATTCTTATCTGAAAAAGGGACCTTTGAGGATATTAAAACTTGACTTTTTTTCTGTTAGCTTCATGAAAGATAGAGCTCTTGTTAAACTTGCATTGCTTTGTTATCACCACAGTTCTGACGCCTTACACAGCAGTTTTTCCTTTAAAATAAATCCTCAGGACAGAAGATAAAACAAATGCCATGCTCTGGTGACTGGCATATACCAACTAGAGGCATATTCACATGAGAAAACTGCTTGACAAATATTTCATCTATCTGAGATATTTTCCAGCTGAGTTGCCTTGCTATTCTGTTCCCACCACATTCTCTGCATTGCACAGTGGAAAAGCGAAGACATTTAACTTCTGCTGTGGACTGGGAACTTCAGATGCTAAAAAACAGGTCAGTTTGCTTTGCTTTCTTTTTCTTTTTTTTCCATGAGGTCTTTTTTTTTTATTTTTTTTTTTAGTTGGCACTGAATAATGGAAACAAACTTAATATCAGCTATTTTCTCTGAATATATCTGTATAAAAGGAGAAAATATGGGAGGGGTTAGCTATATGGCTTAAGAGGCCTGCATATAATAGCTAAAAATTCTCATGAACTAGGGCTATTAATCTATTTGTTATTAAAACGTTATGAAAGGCACACAACAGTAACTTTCTTATCATTAATGCAAGAATTTAACACGCCTAGATACATACAAGTACAGCAGATAAAAAATAAAATGAGCATTCAGAAAAATTTTGGATTCCAAATTAAGAAGAAATTAACATTATGTTTATCGAGGTCGATTTATTGGAAATCATTGTTAAAACTAATCAAACAGGTAATTTTTTTAACATATACTTATAATGAAAGTTCCTGTCTATTGTCAGCAATAAGTTGGTCTATGTTCTATGGACTCCTTCATCCCTTAGAAAAACAAAAGTAACTGCATAAAAATACTAACTTATTTTAAGACTTATTTCAATCTGAATAAGGAGGAATAGAATGAGGAGGAATTTAGAACACAGTCAGTGGCTCAATCTGTAGGAAAACAAAACAAAACAAACCCCCTCTCCCCAAAAAAAAGACCCAAACCAGAAAAGTTTATTTCATTGTGCCTCATGGAATTGGAAAAAAACAGTAATATTGCCTCAGATAAAGATGAGGAAACAGATGGAAAGTTCTACAACTTGCTCCTGGCCTTTACACAGAGAAGAAGACCAAGAGTCCTCATTAACTGGACTCAAGTGAAGAACACGTATCATCTTTCAGAAAATGGCTGACTAACATGCTGGTTTTCACATGAAGAAAACCGCATAACCGTACAGCATAAGCTTGATAAATGTGAAGAGGATTTTGCTTGAAAAAATCCCCTACTTGCTTGTGGGGCAGGAAAAAAGACTAAATTTGTTGTGTTCAATTTTTACAACAATTTCTTCTCCCCACTCCTCTTCTGAATAAGATGGGAAATGAGGCAAAAATCACCATATAAGGAAAAAAACTCAGTAGTCAGAGGGCAGCTTTCTGCCTTTAGCACAGTGCCCCTGTCTCCCAGGCCAAGCGGGGCTGGCGTCTGCCCAACATGCAGAAACAGTATTCCTGGCTTGGTGATGATCTTGCCTTACACCTCACTAGCAAGCCACGCAACCCTAGGAGCAGGATCCTGTTGCAAATCATTACTAATCTCCTGCTACAGTGAGCGCTGGATGGGTGCAGCACTGCCACGACTCCAATCTCCATAAGAACAAAAAAGGTTACTCAAGACAAAGGTGCCATGTACAACATTGGTGTTTCTGGGCAGGCAGCAGAAATGGTGCCTCAGATTTAGTGGGCTGCTCTTGTCTGGATGAGAATATTTCTACATATTTTGAATTTATGAAAACTAATGGAGTTGTGAGAACACCACATAACTTATATTTTCTTGCACTCCTGTTTCAGGAAAAAATAAAAATCATGAGAAAAAGCTGAAGGTTTTGATTACGTTTCGACATATATCATCTCCGTGTGCATCTAATGCATGATTTGTCAGTGACAGGAGTTTTGGTTTATTCTCCTTAATCCCTACTGTCTTCTTAAACCAACACCTGAGGTGCAGTAGAACCTATCACCCATTGGTGAGGTCCTGCCAGAAATGTCTTCCTAAACATCAGATCTATCTGAAATATTTTCTTATAACTTGAGCTGGATCAGAACTTTGCATTATCACTGCTTTTGAAAATCTGACTGCTTTCTTTTTTACCAAATTTAAGAAAACTTTTCCCACTGTTACATTTTTTCCTGTGTATGTCCATTCATTCTCCTTGTAGAGGAAAAAAAAAAAAAAAAAAAAAAAAAAAAAAAAGACGTAATGGGAAAAAAAAAAAAAAAAGAGGAAAAAAAAATCAACTCTCTTCATTAACAGAGACAGAAATTGTGAAGAAAAAAGCAGACTGAGGCAAGGACCATGATATTTCATCAGGACTCAGTCCAGGCAAAATTCTGAACCTCAGGTTGTTAATCTTTTTGCTAAAACCTGTCAGTATCTTCCTAATTAAACAGAGCCTATCTTCAGTAAAAGTTTTTGTGTCAGTATTATACAGACTTACAATTCTGACATTCAGAGTACTTCCTGGCTGGTGTTAATGAGGTACCTTAGTTTGTTTTAATGAGGTACAATGCACAGCTTCATTTATACATAAGAAGAGAAACAGGAAGATTTTGAGCAGGTTTTTCTCTGTAATCCAAGCAAAATGTACAGACTCTGCTACTCGCCATTAATAGCATGACAAAAGGAACTGGTAGCATTTTTTTCCACAGAATAACCTAATCTCATGTGGCTACACTTAGAAAGTGGAAAATCATTGTTATCTCGTATAGATCTCTACAATGCACTGTATGTATCTAGTGAATGAGCATCAAACTGACCCTATGGGTATATACTGAACATCCTGCCAGCCCATTGATTTTGGTGCTATGCTGAAAACAAAAGGCTGACTTTGAGGAAAGGCCATGAACTCGCATTTAGGGGTGTAATCTTGCACAAGTCAGAACAGAGAAGAGACAAAACTGTCCTGCAGACAATAGGCTTCAGTATGGAGAATGCTAATTATAATGCTGGAGAGCTGCGGGGTCACGCTCTTTCCACTGTTCTGTAATTAAGCTCCAGGAAGCACGGCAAACAAGAGGTTAATGTAATTGCTGCTGTGTTTCTTATGCTTGGGAGTCTCGTGCATGTGCAAGGTGCAATTCCATCAGAATTATATTGTTGGTTATCATTAATGGCTGCCTGTTATGAAGTGCAATATTCCTACCTTTTAAAATTCAACAGGATCCTAGACAGGCCATTCTTCTGTTAGGATCTTGGCCAATAAATTACTCAATAGGGTGCACACAGTGGCTGGAGCAATATAATAGCATCACCCTTGGAAACTGTGTGGAGCAGTAATGGTAACCACAGGAGCAAAGGGGCACTTCTTCACAAGGATGTCTTTCAGAGGCGCAGACGGTCAACCAGAGGGCAAAACACAATGTTTCAGGCTAGATATAGATTTCAAATGGGGCAGATATTTGGCAGGCGGGAATCATATACATAAAGCTGACTTTGAAAAAATGTCATACAAAAAGAAAGATCCACTGTTACCACAGGAATCTGAATGCATTATATAGTGCTTTATTGGCTGGGTCTAGTTGGAGGAGGAAAAACAAGTTGAACAGACCCAAACTACAGCCTTTGGGAACAGAAGGACATCGCTTCTGTGCTGGCTTCATCTCTTTTACAATTCAGTTTCTGCTGACTGCAGTTCTGGCAGCATTTCCTGGGTGGTGAAGAACTTTTTCCTCAATTGCTGGTTAATATCAGATCTCGCCCCTGTTGAGACATCTTAGGTAACTCCGTGTATCAGATGCTGTGACGATCTGTCATACTGCTTTTATGGATAATCCTATGTGCTCCATCTACCTGCCAGGTCATGAGAGAAAATCATTTACTGTTTGTCAAGGAGCAGTTCTGTGAAGAGAAATGAAGCACAGGGTTGTGCCTGGGGAGCCTGGTTTCTTAGTGAGCCTCAGTGTACCTCGTCCTCCATTTTCCATAGAAACCATCCTAGGCTGTTGCAGGGAAATGCCCCTTTTTGCCTAGAAGCATTCTTTGCCGTGAAATGTTCTCATGCTGTAGACAAGCATGTAACACGTAAGAACATGTTCATCATTGTCCTAATAGGACAAAAAAAAAAAAAAAAAATCACCTTAGGCTAACACTCATGGTCAGCTTCTGAATTCTCTTCAGAGTAGCTACAAAAAGGAGCACAGGAAGACATATCTGGACACTTTTTGCTTTTCAAGCACAAATGACATAAAATGCAGCTGGTTTGATAAGTCAGGCAAGATGGTTTCAAAGTCAGCTTACAACATGGCTTGAATTAGCATTTCTGAATCTGCAGCAGAATGCCTTAAAAACTGTCTGCACCATGTTTGCTATATGCTGCATTACTTACAGATTACCAGTTGTGCATTTCCAGAGATGTCTGAGAATGTTTCAGGTAGTAGTTGGGTGCACATCTGCATAGCAGCAGAGGCAGTTGTGAATAACAGTGGATAGCTGGTGCAGAGCATAGCCTGTTTGTGTACTCCCTAGACTCCCTTACAGATGTATGCCTACGTAATATTTGCATCCTTGATATATATTTAGTCAAGGGCACCCATATGCAGTTAAAAGTAAAATTGCTGCTATCAAATGAGAAGCGTAGTGATTCCTTAAAAATTGAGATTATCTCTGAAAAGCCTTTTCAAAAACTCTTACTCTGTTATTAACACCCTAAGAAAAGATCTCAAGAAAAATGGGATAATTTTCTGAAAGAAAAGGACAATATAAAGAGATGTTGTTTATGAAAGTTTTAGACTAAACCATGTCCTCTATTATTAAGCAACAGCTCATGTTGCATGCTAGAAACTCTACATGCTTTTATGGCACTTGTACATATTAATTGTCCAATTTTATCAAAGTTGGTAATAATTTGCTTATTACCAGCATTGGGGTCTGAATAATATTTTCATTTCCATTAAGTTTCTTTCCCAGGACTTTTTTTTTTGACTGTTATATCCTCTCATCATTAATGTTACTTCTCATTGCAGACTGAACTGAACATTCACATGAAAGATCACTGTTATTTTGGCTTGTTACTATTTTTTTCATCTAGATTGTTAACCCATCATTTTTATGGCTTTTTACAGTAGTTGCTACACTTATAGCTTACCTGCTAGTCGAATTCATTATACAGACTAACATTTTTGAGGAAAAATTTAGAAGAACATCTCTTTATGAACACACACACACTTTAATGTGATTCTGTCTCCCATTTCTTCTCCTTTAGTTCTTCTTGATATCCTAAGAGTATTTCCTTACTTTCTGATCTGTATTTTTTTCTGGGTTTTATTTT